ATTGTGATAAGAGTTGTATGAGCCCCTAATAAAATGATTTAAAAAAAAAGAATTGTACAAGCCCCCAATAAAATGATTTTTTAAAAAATTATTTCGTTGCTACTTCATAACTGTAATTTTGCTACTGTTATGAATCATAATGTAAATATCTGACATGCAGGGTGTATTTTCATTGTTGCAAATTGAACATAACTAAAGCATAGGGATTAATCACAAAATAAAATAAAATAAATCTTTTGGGAAAAAAAAAAAGAATCTGAGGCAGAGATTAAATGTGGGTTTATAGTAATAAAATATTACTATCAACTCCCTTTGATATTACTATTTCTCCCATTGCAAAAAATATTTAATGGCCTCCAAACTAGGCCATAAAACCTAAGTGAAAAATTATTTAAATCATACAAACTATGTTTCTGACAACATAGGATTAAATCAGATATCAACAACACAAGGACTGCAACAAAGAGGTTTGAGTGATCTTCACAAGGTGATGGGCTGTGGTGATTGTTGTAGAACCACAGATTTACACAGTAAAAACTATTGAATTGCACACTTAGAATGGGTGAATTTTAATTATAAATCAATACAAATCAATATAATCAATAATGCTGTTTCAATAAAAACTGACAAATTCTAAAGCAAGCATCTCAAAAATCCTTTCTGTAGTGCTAATAGATAAAAAGCAGTTATCCAGCATTAAGTTTTTCAAATCCATCTCTTTCTGAACTGGTTTAGAAAATAGAGCAGCATTATTAAACTGGTTTGAAATAAAATTTCGTATGAGTAAAAGCTTAAGTAACATATATATATATCCTTTGAGAACTTTAGAATAAAACTAATTTTCAAAAAGGATTATACTTGAAAAATCTAAAAGCCTCTCAGTTATTCTAACCTGAAAATCTCATATACATCAAAAGGTCATGCAGGAGAATTTATTTTAAATAAGGCATTATAAACAAATATTTATGTGCAGCTTAAGGGCCCAAGTCACTGCCTAATCTACACCATCTAACAACATAGTGCTCATCTATCAAAAAGCCTCTCCATACTAATAAGCAATATTAGAGACAGAAAAACTCAAAATAAAGGAGAGATAAGACCAATCATATAGGCATACACATTCAGTAATATTCTAAAAAGCTTTATAATATATATCCCAGAACAATAAGAGACATTTAAAAGACAAATACAAAAGGGGTTCAAAAACTTTTTGAAGCCCTCCTCATAACCAGCTCCGGTGGCACAGTGGGTTATGAGGTGGGCTGCTAACTACCGGGTTAGCAGTCTGAAACCCCTAGCCACTCCAGATGAGGCATACAAAGTCACAGTCTCAGAAACTCACAGGGGTAGTACCACACTGTCCTACTGGGTTGCTATGAGTGGGAATCAACTTGATGGCTGTGAATTCCAGGATAAATTTATATTTCCAAATACAAATGTCTCCACAATTCTGGAGGAATCAAAATTTTGGTTCAATGTATTTAAAATATTAGAAGAGTGACATCCTCAAAAGAAAGGAGGTACATGCATCAAAGAATTATCTTCTGGTATTTTACTTTTTCAAAACATTTTCTTTCTAGAGCCTAGTATCAGCTCATTTTCCCCGCTTCCTC